GTTATCTTTGCGAAGATAGTGGGTACCAGAAATGTTCGGAAGAATATTTTTGATCCAATTCTTGTACGTATCTAATTGAAGGTGAGTGTAAACTGTTACATAATCATTTGGATCTATTTCTTGGAATACATTGTCATTTGCTTCTTTTTCTTTTAATTCAGATTCTGATCCAGCAAAAAATGATCGATTAGCATATTTAATAGTTTCACTAGTCAAGTCAATGAACGGGTAGTCGATAGGTATAGTTTGATTTTGATCGATGGATATATTTGAATTGGAGAACATGATGTATATTGATAAATGATTTTACAATTATTTTTTTGTAATAACGTATTTGAAAAGGAATTTTTATATTTGAATATGATAGTATTTATTTCTTGTATTAAATATTTTTGCGAAGTCAAAAAGATACAATAATATTAGATATTTTTTGTATATCCAGAATTACAGAATTATGTTTATTAATTAATATTGTCTCGCATGTTAGTATGTTAGTTCTCTATTATTTCGTGTAAGTATAATTTTTTTGATCAGCCTTCACGTATTAAAATAGTTTTCTTGATTGCCAAGGGTGATACATATGCATATCGAGCACGTTTTCATATGCCGAAAACTTTCTTTCATCTCATCAATCAGGATTTATTGGTCGATCAATCATATCATTATTCATGAAAAACTTTAAGGAGGTAAAGAGATTTCTTATATACAGTGGCTCGCATAAGAAACGCAACACTGATAAAAAAAAATGGCGAGATACGAATATCTCGCCGTAGGGAAAACTTGGACAACTAAAAGTTGAGTATAGTGATTCATCAATATCTTTAGTATTGACACCATCAAAATTTATTTGCATCTATCTTTTGATTGGCGATACACTAATTTTTTTATCTTTTTTTAGCGTTGCATTTATTACGACCGAACTGGAAGGTGACATTGAAAGATGAATTTCTAACTAAGGTAAGTAACAAACTGCCAAAAGTTTTTTACATTACATACTTCTAACCATATTTAATAATTTATATAA